AGCGGGGCGGGGCGAGCCGGGGAGGCCCCGCAGGCCGAACGGCCCGGGAGGAGCGGGCGGCCGCGGCGCGAGGAGGCGACGGGGGAGGAGGACGCGGGCCGCCCGCGTGGAGGGCGTGGGGGGGGAGAGGAGGCCACCGAGGGCCCGTCCCGGCGGGCGCCGCCGCCACTCACCCGCTCCGCAGACGAGCGCTGCCGCCGGCAGCCAGAGGAAGATGGAGGCCGCGGGGCCGCGGAGGAGGGGGCCGCGGAGGGGGTGCGCGCAGGGCGTCGGCGTCGCTGCCTCGGCTCGGGGCTCCCGGGGCCCGCGCCGCCGCGGTGACGACACTACGGCCGGCCTGGGCGCCGCCCTCCCCGTCCGAGCTGCAGTCGCTGCCTCCCTGAGCCCGGGGGTCGCTCGCCTCGTGGAGCCCGTGCGGCGCCGCGAGAGCCCGCGGCCATCGGCGTGCGACGGCGGCGGCGCGGGAGCGGGAGCGGGCCGTGTCACGTGACGCCACTGTTTACCGTTCCGGGGGCCGCGGCTGCGTGCGCCGCGCCTGCGCGCTGGCCCTAGCGCGCAGCCGCCCGGAAGGCTCGGAGGGGCGGCCGCGGCCGCGGTGGGGGCCGACGCCGCTCGCCCGCCCGGCCCTGCGGGAGCGCGGACGCCCGGGCGGAGCGGACCCCGCCCGCCCGCCCGCCTCCTGCTCGTCCCTCCTGGGTGCGGGCTGGACCCGGAGCCCGCTGGGCCGGCGTGTCCCCGACGGCGCCGCGCCCACCCTCGGGCGGATTAGTTGGGACCGTCCCCAAACTCCGTCTGCCTCATTGAAGAAACATTCCAGGGGGCTAGGCGAGGATCATCACGGAGCGAGGGGCCCCGGGCGGTGGGATCTTCGCGAGTTCTAGGCCAGCCAAGGCCACGTAGCGCTACACCTTGTCTGTAGCAGCAACGACAACAGAGTTCTCTTGGTAAGCCGTCTTCCAGATCGGATGGGCCGCCCTTGGAGGACCCCACTGCCCCGCTACTGTTCGGAGACGCCTCTTTCCTCCAGACAATGTGTCAGAGTTAAAAGTTTCAAATTTCGTAATTTTGTTGCAGAATCTTATCAGAACATTGGTGACACGCGCTTGCGGTTTTATTTATTTATTTATTTATTTATTTATTTATTTATTTATTTATTTATTTATTACATCTTTAATTTTTTTTCTCAAGTTTCCCTCGATTTTTTTTAATAGCGTGTAGAAGTCCAAAGAGCAAACACGGCGACTCCACCGCAGTTTGTCCAGTCCATCCCACTTCACTGAAGTGCTGTGGTCTAAGATGCCTGTCAGTCACCGTAACCCAAGAGAGCCCCTTAAAGACCACAATTGTGTTTCCTCCTTCAGAGACAATTACAAGGCTGCCACCTGTGGGGCACCTTGCCCCAGGCCTGCACTCTACCTTTTAAAACCTCCCAGCAAGCTCACTTCACTGAGATCAGCAGGAGGTAAAACAAGCCGCGGGCTAGTGGTGACCTGCTCTTTACTTTCTCTGTCCTGGGGTTACTTGGCCACCAAAAGCAAACACATTTGCAAAGATGCTTGGGCTGTCCAGATTATGGTGGAGTGCTAGAATGCCGTCCCCTGCCCTAAGTCATCAATCTCTCACTCACGTCTTTGTTTCAAAGTCTTTTTAAACGTTTGGGAAGGGGTGTGTGTGTGTGTTGTTTTTAAGAAAGAAAGAAATGAATAATCAGAAACTTTCACTTGAGTTGTTTGGGAAGGAATTGCGAACAAAAAAGAAATATTAAGAATTGAGGTAAACATCTCTTCAGAAAAATTTTAGTAAATCTAGGACAAAATACAAAATGAACGTTAAAATATTGCGGCATAGCCCTGTCACCTTCACACAAAGATTTCTGATCCAAAACCGAACGGCAACCTTAGTATTTAGCATGGTATTTGTGTTTGTTACTTCAACCAAATATCCAAAGCTACAGCTGTCTACTACTAAGCTTTGCTTGTTGCTTCTAGAGGCAAACAAGAGTATTTGTCTTTTACCGAAGTCACAGGTCACAAGGACAAAAGCACTGGAAGTGATTATAACTGCTCACAGGTTCTTTTAAATATCTGTGGGAAAATCAGATAGCACTGGCAGCAATAGAAATTTAACTTAATTTGGGAAAAAAAGAATTTAGTAGAAGAACAACGCAAAACTAATAGTGTGTGTATGTATTTCGACTGAAAATTATGGAGGAAAAAAAAATGACAAGTTGGACTTGCAAAACATGGACCAAGAAAAACAAAATCCACCTAAAATAAAACCATGGAAAACAGTATAGAATGCAAAAGTCAAAATCAGTTTTGACTGTCAAGTTAAGCAGCCCTATGGGGCTCATCTACTGCCTCTTAAACAGCTGAAATCCAGGCGGAAGACTGGGCTTGCCCAGCCTTCGGCAAAAAAAAAAAAAAAAAAAAAAAAAAAAAAAGGCTGTTTTTGTCTAAAACACCACTGTTGCCATAGATAGAACAAGCCGCTGCAGGTACCTGTTGACTGTCCTGCTTGGTGTCCTGTCCTGAATGCTGGAGCTCGATGAGGCTCTGGGGGCCAGAGGCTTGCATTACAGTTGCGGTTGTGACCCTTGCTGGTCCTCCTGCCACCAAGGCTCTCATTCTAGGGTGAGCTCTGCTCTCATTTTCCTCTTGCTGACTTATGTCCAAGGCACACTTAGGTACACAAGGGAGGCTCGGCAAAGCTGGGAACTCAGAACACTGGTTTCAGTTTTCCAGTGTCTTGGTGCCATAACACAGAAGCCATTTGGACACTCTCTGGGGCAGCTGACACTTTCCAAGGTATACCTGCACCCTGGCAGGTATCTATCACTCAGAACTACACAAAAGATCATACTAGGGCCTGGAGAGGTGGCTCAGAGGTTAAGAACACTGGCTGTTCTTCCAAAGGTTCTGAGTTCAATTCCCAGCAACCACATGGTGGCTCGCAACCATCGATAGTGAGATCTGGTGCCATCTTCTGGTTCACAGGCATACATGCTGGCAGAATACTGTCTAAATAATAAAGAAATATATCTTTAAAAAATTATCAGACTGGAGAAAGCTCAGGCTTTTTGCCCTCACACCCAGCAGCATTTCTTAGGTGAGGTGTGCCTCACCTAAGGTGTTCCTCCAATATTAGGACTCAACTCTTTCTAAAAGTTTGTTAGGAGCTCTAGAGACGTGCCAGTGGGTAAGACCACTTGCTGCACTTCCAGAGGAGGACTGGAAGTCAATTTCCAGCACCCTCAGCAGGCAGCCACAATAACCTGTAATTCCAGCACCAAGGATCCACCGTCTGCTACTGGCTTTGTGGGTGCCTGTACTCATGTATGTACACTCACACTGACACACATATAAAAATAAAATCTTTTTAAAACCTCACTGAAACGCTGGTCTCTCTTTTATCAGTTCAGTCAATTAGTAAAAGCAGGAAATTTTTTAGTTGCTAGTAATGAACATATAGATAATTTGGCATTTGGGGCTAGCAATAGAACGCTCAGCAGGAAAAGCTAAGCCTTGGACACCTGAGTTCAATCCCTGGTTCTCAGCCTATGGGTCATGACCCTTTGAGCAAACCTCTATCTCCAAAAACATTTACATCACAATTCATAACAGTAGCAAAATCACAGTTATGAAGTAGCAACAAAATAATTTTATGGTTGGCGGTCCTCTCAATATGAGCTGCATCATTAGAAACGTTGTGCCACAGGATATTTCATTATTGTACATAGAAACCTAATTGTTAGCAAAATATAAAAGCCTACACCGATATTGCGTTTGTCAGATGCAGTTAGATGTGTTCTGAAGAGAAGCAGTTTGAGTGCACCTCCAGAGGCCTACATGGGTAAGAATACTAAAGAACGGAAAGTTCCTGCCTATTTTAAGGGAGGTTGCTTGGGAGAGATCTGGTGGTCTTTGCTCTATGAGCCGAGGCAAAGTCTTTTGGGTAGCCTTGAGCTACCCTAAATGTGAAATGGTTCAGCCCCACTGACTTGGCTTGGAGACCTCCCACCATAACAGTGAAAAGGCTTCACCCTGCTAAAGGTGTAGGGGAGGAGCTAGAGACTTCTTTTATAGCAAATGGTCCCTTTCTCCTCTCCCTCCCCATCTCTCCTTCTCTCTTTCAGCTTGAAGAGCCTTTTCAGAAGGATCTCTGGGTAAGAGATAGAGATCCTCTCTTTGGGCTTGCAGAAACAACAGAGAAGCAGCTGGCAGGGCACCAGTAAAACAGAATTCTAAAAAAGATAGCTAAGAAGCAGTCTTAGGTTTGGAGCTCAAAAGAAAGGCAGTCTAGCTCAGTAGAATGACAGAAAGAGAATTCTAAAGAGCTTGCAGTTTGGCTGTAGAATCAAGCTTGTGAATAGATACTTTGTATATACTATAGGAAGTAAAGTTACCTGGCTGAGCTAGTAGGTTTTTACCTCAGTTTATGCCTCCTGCCTCTTTATTGGTATAAATATTAGATAATTTAAACAATTACGAGGTTGAGAAATACTGTAGTAGAAGAAAATCAACTTCAGCAACACATGTGCCATGGCAAATATGTCTCTCCTCTTCCTGCAAAATAAGTAATATAAAAAGTGTTTTTAAAAGTATAAGATTTGCTGAGCAGTGGTGGCACACACCTTTGATCCCCGCACTGGGGAGGCAGAAGCAGGTGGATCTCTTGAGTTCAAAGCCAGCCTGGTGTATAGAGAGAGTTCCAGGACAGCTAGGACTATACAGAGAAACCCTATCGTGAAGAACAAAAACAAGAGGGAGAGGGTTACAGCTGGGATACAAAATGAATAAACTAATTAATATAAAAAAGAAAAATGTAATTAAAAAGAAAACAAAAAAGTGTGACATTTGTGTGTAAAGTTTTTCTAGATCTTTCTCCCATCCACACATTCACTTTTCCGAACATGGCTTGCCCTATGAGCCCTCAGCATAAATGAGTAAAAGGAAATGCCCTCCTCATTCAAAAATGAATAATTGCCGTTACATACCAGGGGTCAGGAGAGGGTCGATAGGAAAGCTATATATCAAATAATGAAATAAACCTTCATCTGCCCCAGTACTTTTTAAGCCATAGGGACCTTTTTAAAGACTTCAATTGCCAGGCCGTCTCCTCTGCATTACTTTCCCCACCTACACACACACACACACACACACACACACACACACACACGCCAGGAATGGATACAGTTACTCCCACCTGAAGTGGAAGTTTCCGGTTTCTTTGAAGACTCAGTTGAGTCATGTGATGTTTAGCTAGAAGCTGTCTTTTTAGAGGGCACGTGATGTTTTGCTGTGAGTGGTCTCGTGAGAGGGCATCCGTGGGTGAACTCTGAAGAGAGGAGGTACATAAAGCCCCTAGACAGTGAGACACAGCTTTTTGGATCAAGATCGGTGCGCTGATCTTCTTGTTTCCACACTTTACTTCCCAGAGAGAAACATTCCAGAGCACTTCTGGGGCAATCCAACTGAGTCTTGCGGCTTTCACTGACTTGTCTCGACCTTCTGAATCATGCTGATTCCTGTTGTTACTTGGTGCTGGCCTTTGGACTGGACTGCTGGTATCTGGACATGAAGAGTGGACTCACCCCAAGGAACTACTTCTATAAAGGTCTACAACCCCCTCTAACTAATAACCTTTCTCCCCTACCTCTGGTCAATGGGTGGAAGGGAGGCTTTTAAGAACCCTAAATAAAGTAGGTTTGGTGAAAAATCTAAGCCTACACCTACCCTGAAGGAACTCAAAAGAATGAGAGGGAGGAGCAGTCAACACTCACATGCAGCCTGGTGTGACATTAGTTGGCACAAAAGACAAATGCTTATGTTCTCTTCACCCTGCATAATTTCTGGGACATTCTTGGGGTCTGAGGGTGAGGCTGCCCTCAAAGATGAAAAGAGAGCAGAAAAGTTGGTGTATTTCAGTAATTGTGAAAGATTTGCTGTCTAAATTGTACATATTGTTACTGTGTTAGCCAGTGTTCTCTAGAAGAATAGAATGAATAGAAGAAGTGTGTGTGTGTGTGTGTGTGTGTGTGTGTGTGTGTGTGTGTATACATGTGTGTGGAATTTATTAGAATGACTTGCAAGCTGTAGTCCAGCTAATCCAATAATGTCTAACCAAATAAAAGTCCAAGAATCCAGTCATTCTCCAGTCCACAAGGCTGGATGTCTCAGCTGGTCTTCTTCAGGGCTCCTCAAGAAAAAGCTCTAACACCAGTGAAGGAATGAACTGGTCAGAAGGAATAAGGGCAACCAGGCAAGGAGCAAACACTTCCTTCTTCCTCAGTGCTTTATACAGGCTACCAATAGAAGGTGTGGCCAAATTTAAGGTGGATATATATTCCCACATCAAAAAAAAAAAAAAAAAAAAAAGCCAGATTTAGAGTGGGTCTTCTCACTTCAAATGATTCAACCAAAAATTCCTCAGAGGCGAAAACAGAAACTTGAATTTAGTTACTTCCAGATGCATCAAGTTGATTACCAAGAATATCCGTCACAGCCGCTATAAAAATAACTATTTTTTAATAAAGTGTTTTTATAATGTCCCTCTACGACAACCTCAATGATAATATTATTCCCTCCTACTTAATTTCCCAAAACATAAAGTTCAGTGACATAAATTTCTTCATGTTACGTCTGTTTTGTCTTAGACAGACAAACATGACCTAGATTGCCCATGTTCTTTCAAATGCCATCTCTGAAGCCAACAGCGAGGCCACCTCCTGATGATGTCATCGTGTTATAAATCTGCCAGGGGACTGATCAGCGCCCTTAGGTCAGAGCTGTCAGAATCTAGTCTTTTACCCTAGGCAGCCAGGTGTCACCACTTGATCTTTGGGGCAGCTGTTTCTGAGTGTCAAACCGTAGGAGTGCAGAAAAAGGATGTACATGAGACCTAAGTGCTTGCTCCTTACCCTTTTGGGTACATGACATAATGGAGCATGTAATGCCAGGCAAGACACCCTTCCTGATTATATCTTGAAAGGGGGAATCTAAAATATACAACTGTGATGTAGTACAAAATGAGAGCTTGAATAAGGCCAATGTCTACTCACCAGTGCCTGGGATACTGTTTCAGAGAAGGATCAACAGCTGAGTTGCCCTCATTTATACAGTAGAAAATCTGTAGATTTTGTTGTTGTTGTTGTTGTTTTAAGACAGAGTCCCAGGCTGGCTTTAAACTTGTGATCCTCCTGCCTGGGCTTCCCAAATTATAGGATTATAAGCAAACGCCACCATGCTGGGTGTTACAGTTAGAATCTGAAATACTTCCCCTCAGCAGTGGGTGGTGGGGTTAAGTGGCTGTGGAACTTCTCTGGCATAAGGCCTGTCTGGCAGAAGCCACTGTCTGCAGGGTTATACTCTAGCCTTGCTTCCAGGCTAAACAGAGCTGGTTTTGTAAGGCCTTTTCCTCCTGATTGCAACATTCCTTCCAAATTGAAACAACTCCTCCCAGAGGGAAGGGGAGGCTTTCTGAGCCTTTAAGAGGGAATAAAAGGTCACATGTAAGGAAAACAGATCCCCCTTTTTTTTTTTTTTTTTTTTTTTTTTTTTTTTTTTTTTTTTTTTTTTTGAGACAGAGTCACGCTAGTTAGCTCTGGCTGTCCTGTAACAGATCTTCCTGCTTCTGCCTCCCAAGTAAGTGCTGGGATCACAAAGGCATTTGCCACCATGCCCGGCGCTAGCTTGGAAGATCCTAGAGATCCCCTATCCTAGAGTGTAGAAAGAAATAAACAGGTGCTCAGAGACTCTGAGCATTCAAACTGCAGGATAATGATAAATCAGTGTGTAGAAAGCTATGTTGGGGTGGGCCGCTGGGTGGTGCAGCTGCTTTGGGTTATCCCTGCTCCTTGTAAATAACTCCTCACCCATACTCCTGTATCACCAATAAAAACACTCACTGGCTCAACAAATTGGACACCGGTGCGATTGCCACTTTGGTCTGTCTCGGGCTCTCTTTTTAGGGTGAGTATGCGCTGTGTTGCTTCTCCCCATGAAGCCCGTCAGCCAACACATGGATTGAAGGAACTACATCATGCCAGCACAGACTGTTGCCTCCACTGCCTTGCCTTCTCTCCTATGACTGACTGAATTCCCCTAAAACATTTAGCCTCCCTCCCCCCCCCAAAAAAGAATCCTCCTCGATTGAGTTGTCTCTGATAGCTATCTTGTCAAAATTGTTGAGAAAAGTCACGAATATTATGCATTGGATTTCCTTGGGCACCCTTCAGCTTTTTCCTGGCTCTGTCTACTCATAGTTACTTAGCTACTCAGGCATAAATGAATTACTTAATCATTTTATTCTGTTATAACTTGTAAACTTCATGGCCTGTGAGTTGGCTTAGCAGGTGAGATATTTCCCACCAAGCCTGATAACGTAAAGTTGATCCCTGAGACTCACATGGTGGAAGGCAAGAACAGATGCCCAGAATTATTCTCTGACCTCTACACACAGGCTATGGCACCCTTCCCCCCACCATGTTAGTATTCATATAAAAACAATGCCATGCACACAACAGATCCGAAATGAAAGAGTTTATTGGTTGGAGATAGAGAGAAAGAGGAAAGGAAAGAGAGACATGGGGGTGAGAGTGGGGCAACCTGACAGAAAAGGGGAGAGAGAAAGGGAAATAAGAGGCAGGGGTCCTTTTATCCCTGGCCCCTGGCACCAGCGACCAATCACAGGTGGCTAAGCAACCTAGAAGTGGGCTAGTGCAACAGCTTGTGAACTAAAACCCCCCACACATAATCAGTCAATAGTCATCAATCAATAAAGCTGTATGCTCTAAAACAGCACAGATCATGGATTTTTTTTTTTCAAGCTTTTGTCCCAAGAACCCATTATGACACATGGCTCCACAGAAATTCAATAAACATTCATTGTCTTGATGACCTACATTCGCCAATAATGGATTTGCTAGAGGACTTTGGCCTCTAGGAAAAAAACTTGTACTGTATTTCAAAGAATGGAGGCTGAAAAGCATAATGGATTTGATCCAACATTTGATGGGCAGGAGCCCCAATTTATGTTCACTGAAAGACTTCATTAAACATGAAGATACAAAGCACTGCACCTCTGATACTCAGAAGGCTGAGAATGTCTACAGAACATGGACAGTGGTAGGAAGTACCAGGAGTGTTTTGTTGGTTCCTGTCTTAGTTAGGGTTTCTCTTGCATTGATGTCACACCACAGCCAAAGCAGCATGGGGAGGAAAAGGTTTATTTCAGCTTACAACTGTCGTGTCACAATCCACAGATGAGGAAGGCCAGGGCAGGAACTCATAGTGGGAACCTAAAGTCAGGGACTGAAGTAGAGACCATAGAGGAGTGCTGCATACGGACTTGCTTACTCATGGCTTGCTTTCTTGTAGCACCTAGGAGTGGCACCACCACAATAGACTGGACCCTGCCACATTGATTACTAAGAAAATGAATTACATACTACTTTCATACAAACCAATCTCATTGAGACATTTTTCAAATGAGAGTTCTCCTTCTCAAACAACTCTAGTGACATTAAAAATGAACCCACCCAGAATACAACCTCAAGAGTTGACAGCTCTAAAGAGACATGATAGTTCAGTCTAGCCATCACAACATCCCTCTTTACACACACACACACACACACACACACACACACAGAGAGAGAGAGAGAGAGAGAGAGAGAGAGAGAGAAGATTGATTTAGTAATTGCTGACCATATGGGAGGAAAACTGGAATAGAATAACCCAAGCAGAATTTGAGTTCATGAGAAATAGTAATCTTCCAATTAAGGAACACATGGAAACAATTTTGAACATTGATACTCTTTATGTGATCTTTGCAGTAATCCCCCCTTTTTACCATAGAGATGTCAGAAGGAATGTTTGGCTTTAAAATGGTAGCACTGGCCTGAAATCAAATTTCCATATGTTAAAACTGATGGGGATAGTGTCTCTCTGCCTTTTAGTTAGTTTGGCTAAGGATTTCTCTATCTTGTTGATTTTCTCAAAGAACCAGCTCTTGGTTTTATTGATTCTTTGAATTGTTTTATTTGTTTCTAATTTATTGATTTCAGCCCTGAGTTTGATTATTTCCAGCCATCTACTCCTCTTTGGTGTGTCTGCTTCTTCTTTTTTCTGTAGGGCTTTTACGTGAGCCATTAAGTTGCTTGAATGAGATGTTTCAAATTTCTTCTTGAAGGCACTTAGTGCTATGAACTTTCCTCTTAGCACTGCTTTCATCATGTCCCATAAGTTTGGGTATGTTGTGCCTTCCTTTTCATTGAATTCCTTGAAGACTTTAATTTCTTTCTTTATTTCTTCCCTGAGCCAGCTGTCCAAATCAGCAAAATCAGAAACGAAAAGGGGGACATAACAACAGACACTGAGGAAATCCAAACAATCATTAGGACTTACTTCAAAAGTATATATGCCACAAAATTTGAAAATCTAAATGAAATGGACAATTTTCTTCATCGATTCCACTTACCAAACCTGAATCAAGACCAGGTAAATCAATTAAATAATTCTATATCCCCTAAGGAAATAGAAGCAGTCATCAAAAGTCTCCCATCCAAAAAAAGGACAGGGTCAGATGGTTTTAGCACAGAATTCTACCAGACCTTCAAAGAAAAGCTAACACCAATACTCTTCAAACTATTCCACAAAATAGAAACAGAAGGAACATTACCAAACTCATTCTGTGAAGCCACAGTCACCTTCGTACCTAAACCTCACAAAGACTCAACAAAGAAAGAGAATTTCAGGCCAATCTCCCTTAGGAACACTGATGCAAAAATACTCAACAAAATACTTGCAAACCGAATACAAGAACACATCAAAGATATCATCCACCATGACCAAGTAGGCTTCATCCCAGGTATGCAGGGGTGGTTCAATATATGGAAATCCATCAATGTGATCCACCATATTAACAAACTGAAAGAAAAAAAAAACATGATAATCTCCTTAGATGCTGAAAAAGCATTTAACAAAATCCAACATCCATTCATGTTTAAAGTCCTGGAGAGATCAGGGATACAAGGCACATACCTAAACATAGTAAGGGCAATATACAGCAAGCCTATAGCCAACATCAAACTGAACGGAGAGAAACTTAAAGCAATCCCAGTGAAATCAGGGACAAGACAAGGCTGCC